AGGCAGAGCAAAAGAGAGAGAGAGAGGGAGTCTTCCATATGCTGGTTCACTTCTCAAATGGCCGTTAACAGTGGAGCTAGGCCTATCTGAAGCCAGAAGCCAGGAGCTTCTTCCTGGTCTTACATACAAGTGTAGAGGCCCAAGGACATGGGCCATTTTCTACAGCTTTTCCAGGCCATTGCAGAGAGCTGGGATTGGAAGTGGAACAGCTGGGACACAACCTAGCACCCATATGGGATCCCAGCGCTGCAGGTGGCGGCTTTACCTGCTACACCACAGCATCAGCCCCAATGACTTTGTTCTTGCTCTTCCTCTAAACCTGCTTGGCTCATGCCCCCTTCTCCTTAGGGTCTTTGTTTAAACATTGCTTTCTCAATGAGACATTTCCAGGCAATCTATTGACAATGAATTCCTTTTCCCACTGCCCTTAGCACTTTCTCCCTTTTTCTGATCTATTTTTCTCTAATAGTTTGTCAACACCTTTTAAATTTCACATTGTATTGTTGTCTATCTTATTAGAATGAATACTCAATGAGAGTTGGTTCTTTCTGCTTACTGTCTTGTCCACTAAAAAATTCCCAGCCCCAAGATGATTGACTGACCCATTATTGTCCTTCAGTTAATATTTGTTGAATAGATGGTTGAATGAATAAGTCCTCATTGCCAGACTCCATGATATATCTTATAACAAATAAAAGTAGATAAGCTGTTTGAATAGAGTTCACACATACGTATGTCTTAGGGGGTTTGCTATGAAAAATGCCTGCAGATCAGATTGGAAGAACAAAAAGCTAGAGATTTGGAGATAAGAGACAGTGCTGGTCTTAATTCTGAACACCATAATATAAAGAGATCAAAAATCCCTAAAGTCTAAAATCATAAAAATCATAGTCCATAAGTGTTACAATCAGGACTATTGAAATCCTGAAAGCCACAATTCCCATTTCAAGCAGGCTATATAATAGAGGTGCAAAGCTGGTTTCTTGGAGGGATTGGTGAGTTTCTAGTTGTATGTAGGTAGTTGCATCATGGAACAAAAGCCTAGAAACTTTGTAAAGCCTAGTTTTGAACGTGTCTGTGAGGATGTTTCCAGGGTAAAGTTGTGAGCATTGGTTTTTTACAGTTCACTATGCTATGCATTTAATCTCTGCACTCTTATTAATACTGGAGGCATGCATTGTGTAAGACTTTTAGACAGTTCTAATTTGTTTTATGCATCTTTTATATATTTGGCTGTGAAAATGCATTATCACAATATAGATTTTCTGTATAAGTATTCTGCATATACATAAAATATTGAAACTTCCTTTCTTAAGGAAATAATTTTTTAATATCTTGGCTTTTGGGCAACTGCATATGTATATCATGGTTATTCATTCTTGCTTTTGATCAACACTGTCACCAGTCTTCAGTTTTTCCATCAGATGTCCACAGTTATAAAGCTGGGTACACATAATTACCAACCCTACTGACACGTTTGTACATTTCACTTTTTGACACATTTTGTTATGACTGTGGTTTACCTACCATTAACTATATCTGAGTGTTTATACTTATAAAAACATGTATTTTGGGGCCGTCGCTGTGGCGCAGTGGGTTAACACCCTGGCCTGAGGCGCCGGCATCCACTTCCTGTCCAGCTCTCTGCTATGGCCTGGGAAAGCAGTAGAAGATGGCCCAAGTCCTTGGGCCCCTGCATCCATGTGGGAGACCTGGAAGAAGCTCCTGGCTCCTGGCTTCGGATCAGTGCAGCTGTGGCCAATGTGGCCAACTGGGGAGTGAACCATCGGATGGAAGATCTCACTCTCTCTCTGCCTCTCTTCTCTCTGTGTAACTCTCTGACTTTCAAATAAATAAATAAAGTCTTTTTAAAAAGTATGTTATTTTTGTCAATTTTATTATGTAAAGTGGCCTATGAAGTGTTCAAGCATGTTTTTGTTTTCTTGAATAAATCCCCTTTTAAACATGAACAAATGGCTTTAAAAAAATTATTTATATAGGAATTAGATTTTCAGGATTTTGGACTTTCGCTGTCGTAGACATTAGGGATTTTTATCTTTGAGGAAATCTTACATTTGGGACTATGACTCAGACCATTCAAGGCTGAGAAGGAAAAGCGTGAAGGCTTCAACTGGAGTGGGAACTGTAGGGACGGGGGTGTGTGCTGCTTGTGTGAGAGACCCTGGGGGGAGACCACCTAGTACCTGGGGCAGATGGGAAGCGCGACCAGAAAAAAAATGCAATGAAAAGTTTTAATTCTACATTTTTTCTAGAGAGTGGGCTAAAAATGTCTCTAACAAATGCAGAGTTAAGAGAATTTAGGGGATAAAGAGTTTCAGAAAGGAAAAGGAAGGTGATTTTGTTTTGAAGTTATTCCTTTCATTTTTGGTAAATGTACATAACATAAAATTTACCATTTCAGTCATTTATAAGTGGCATTATATGTGTTCATATGGTTGTACCACTGTCAGAACCATTTATCTCTAGAACTTTCTCTCTTCCCAAACTGAAACTCTTAAATAATAACTTAAATAATAACTCCTTCATAATAACCCCTCATTCTCCTTCCCCTTAACTACAATTTTCCCCTCAATGACCTCTATGAATTTGATGATTCGAAATACCCCAAATAAGTGCAATCATTCAGTATTTGTCCTTTGTATCTGCCTTATTTACTTGCATATTATCTTTTTTTTTTTTATTTTTTTGACAGGCAGAGTGGACAGTGAGAGAGAGAGAGACAGAGAGAAAGGTCTTCCTTTGCCGTTGGTTCACCCTCCAATGGCCGCCGTGGCTGGCGCGCTGCGGCTGGTGCACCGCGCTGATCCAATGGCAGGAGCCAGGTGCTTTTCCTGGTCTCCCATGGGGTGCAGGGCCCAAGCACTTGGGCCATCCTCCACTGCACTCCCTGGCCACAGCAGAGAGCTGGCCTGGAAGAGGGGCAACCGGGACAGAAACCGGCGCCCTGACCGGGACTAGAACCCGGTATGCCGGCATCGCAAGGCGGAGGATTAGCCAAGTGAGCTGCGGCGCCGGCCTGCATATTATCTTTAAAGTTTATCCATACTGCAGCACATGTCAGAACTGCATTTCATTTTAAGGCTGCATAGTCCATTGTATGTGTGCATTTTGTTATTCATACACTATAGATACTTGGGTTGCTTCCAAGTTTTCCTATCGCAAATAATGCCACTGTGAGCAGAGCTTTACAGGTATCTCATTCAACCTTTTTGAGTGTATACTTAGAAATGGACTTGCTGCCTCTCATAAGAGAATTCTGTTTTACTATTTACTGATGTTGGTTTGAGACAAACTCAGGTGGTAGAGAATCTTGAAGTTAGGGATGGAGCCAGAGTGAAAGCAGTTGCAGACAGGGATTTCACATTGAAAACTCACCAGGTGTAATGGCTGAAAAGAAGAGATTGAAGTCGTTAAGAGAAAAGATGGAAAGAGCTGAGCCAAGGACTGAGGCTTAGGAGAGGAGTGAGGGGAGCCAGTCCATGAGACAGAAAAGGAACGATTAGACTTAGGAACAGAAGCCCAAGTGTTCCTGCACACTGAGCTCACACTCATCCATATTCATTGAGCACTCCTACAAGAACTTCCTTCCAGATGAATAAGCTTCTTTTTAAGTATGACATTACTTTCAAGGGTTTGGGGGTTGGAGGTCACAGATCATTACCAAGTGTTGAATTTCTGAGACACAGATACTTTTCAGAAAGGTCCTAGAGACACTAAAAATGCAGAAAATTTCCATATTCCTTATTTGGTTATTCCCCATTTCCTCTTGTACATTGCACAGGTTTTTTTTTTTTTTAATGTGTTGCTGAAGTATGACATACTTCATACCACAAAAGTTGAGCAAAACATATATAGACAACTTGATGAATTCTCAGATATTATCTATGCTTGGGTATCCAACACCCACATTAAGAGCTAAAATATCACCCTCACACTAGAAGTTCCCTTTATGCCTCCACTTACCCAGTGTCTCTTTGACCCTGATTTTTAGCACCATAGGTTAAGTGTCCCTGTTTTGAATCTTATGTAAGAGGATTCACACATTATGTACTATTTGCATCTGAATTCTTTCCTTTAATATTATATTTGTGAAATTCACCCATACTGTTGTGGGTTGTTGTAGTATATATTCCACTGTGAGCTTTTTATGCAGTTTATTCATTTCCATGTCAATAGGCACTTAGATAATTTCCACTTTAGGTTTATTGCAAATAGTACTGCTATGAACATCATCATAGTTCCTATTAAAACTTAGTATGTTCTTTTTCACCTCTTTAAAGCTAGCCTTGCTTAATTCATTTAAATGTCTTCCCACCGTACCTAATTATTTTCATTGTTAATACAAAATATATTTCCCTTAATATTAGTTTTAAAAGTGTAAAGTGCCACAGAAATTGTGTTCCTTATAAAACTGTTTCTGCCTTTGTTACAGTTTTCCTTTTGAAGCATCCATTCTTTTTTTCAGCTATCCAGGATAGGAGTTTTAAATGCATATTGAACCTGTCAAAATTCTTCATCCCTTAATGAGGTGAATCAGTCAACCTTGAAACAAATATTTTAATTTTGACACCATGATGAGTTAGAGGAAAAGAATAGCTCCCATATATTTACTGCAGGCTTGTTGTCAAACTTAAATTGCAATTTGCAGAGTAACCAAAAGAAATTGAGAATTGACAAAAAATGCATTGTGCTATGATATTTTAATGTACTTTTCCTTTCAGATGAGAGTCTATTTGGTATTAACCATCAATATTACTAATTCAAAATTGGATTTTGTTGACTAAATATACATATATATTTTACATGTTTGTATTGGAATATTTGTATAGATATATATATATATGAATGAAATTTTAGATGTTCAAAGGAAACTTTGTATTATTTTTAATTCCATTTTGCCATGAACTTTTTGAAGCCCCTTTGTGTGTGTTTTTCTGTCTATGTATCTGTCAACATACTCACTGAATTATTCTTTTCAGAAAGAATAATAGAAGACCATGAGCTAGTGACCGAAGTGCTATCCAACTGGGGAATGGAAGAAGAAAATAAGTTATTCTTTCGAAAAAATTATGCCAAATATGAATTCTTTAAAAATCCAATGGTAAGTAAAATCTCATTAACGCTTATGGAAAATAGATGAATCAGTGAAATCCCATGCAAAGAAGAGAATCATTTTAAATAAAATAGGGTCCTATTTACTAAATTATAGGTAATGATTCTGGTTTCTTTGAAATAATACTCATATTTCTCTCTATTTGAACAATAATTAGTTAATATGATAGGCAGAAATTCAGGAATTTTTTTTAGCCATGCTGGCAAAGTCTGAATTGAGACAAATATGGTTCCTTTGAAAGTACAAAGAAAACTAGTGTTGGGGAATCATTGCTTCTTTTTTTAAAAAAATAACATATTTTAGAAATGGATTATTATAGGTCTTTGAGAAGATTAAAAATCATTTTTAATACTTTTCTTTCTTTTTTAAAATATATGTTTATTTATTTAAAGGCAGAGTTAAGAGAGGCAGAGAGAGAGAAGAGAGAGAGAGAGAGAGAGAGAGGTCTTCCATCGGTTCATTTCCCAGATGACTGCAATGGCCAGAGCTGCACAGATCCAAGGCCAAGAGCCAGGAGATTCTTCTGGGTCTCACTTGCGGGTGCAGGGGCCCAAGGACTTGGGCCATCTTCTACTGCTTTCCCAGGCCACAGCAGAGAGCTGGATTGGAAGTGGAGCAGCCAGGACTCAAACCAGCGTCCATATGGGATGTTGGTATTGTAGGCAGCAATTTTATCTGCCACTCCACGGCACCTGCCCCTGTATTTTAAAACTTTTCATAGAACTTAGGAAATTTAAATGAAAAACTTTGTAAAATAAAAACAGACTGGTGATTGTTTAGACTGCTATAATTTAGCCAGATATTTGAGATTGACAGGGATCTTGCTGTTTCAAATTATTTTGTTTTCAGTGCAATAATTTCCAAGCTAAGTGGAAATAAGATAAAGACCAGTACATTATCAAGTAAATATTCCTTTCATTACAGTTCTCTTTAAAAGAAAATAAACATATGTCACATTCTAATGAAGACTAGAATCTAGAGGAGTCAGAATTGCCTCTGGGCTCATTATTTTAAATTGTTTTTGTCTCTGCAACTGTAGTATATTTTTACACTAAGTTTTGGATAATTGGATTGAAATGATGCTTTATGAAAAATATATAATATGCACCATAATAGAATATTTTCAAACCCTGGCAGACCTTGTAGGCTCTCCTTTATTTTAACCTATAAATAGAAACATAATGGGCTGATCTTTGACAAAGAAAATGGGAGTTCTAATAAAAATTAAATAGAGTTGCAATTTAAAGAGAAAGCATCTTCTTTTGAGTCTTTATTAAAAGCAAGAACTTAAAAGTAATATTTAAAGAAATATGGTTTAGTGCCCACTTTTGACTTTATTTATTTTTTTATTTAAACAAGGCTGGACATTCACTTTGAAGACCCCAAACAGTGTTTCTCAACTGAGGGAGGATTTGTCAGTGTCTGGAGACGTTTGTGGCTGCCACAGTTTGGGAAGGGGCCTTCATAGATGGAAATAGGAATGCCACTAACCACACTATAATGCACAGAACAACCTTCTGCAACACAGAAGTTTTAGACCAAAATGTTAGTAGAAAAGCTATTGAAAACCTCTTTCCTAAAGGAAGAATACTAGAATATATTTTCCCAAACTTGTCTGGCCATAAAATTTACTTATGGGAGTCCCAGTGCTTATTGAAAACACAGGACCTGCCCAGACCTGCTGAATCAGAACCTTCAGGAATGAGGGCTGGGGGATTCCTATTTTAAACAATTGCCCTGGGTGAGTTTTATGATTAAACAAGTTTGAAAAAACTATAGGTGAAAAGGACTGGACTCTTAGCTCCCTTGCCCAGTTTAAGTATTCGTTCTTCTATATGGTGGGCTAAGATCGTGGCATACCTCTGGCCCTTTGTAAAGCAGGGTTACAGTGTCTTAGTAAGTGGGAGGACCATGGCAGGATTTAGTTAGAGATGTGGGTGCAAGCACATTGTCCATGTGAGCGCACTGGTGTGGAACTTCCTGCGGCAGCAGCATCTGGGGGTGTTCACTGACATTTGGCCTCAATTCCAGACCTTCTCAGTAAGATGCCAGAGAGTGAGTCCAGGGATGGGTTTTTCAAAAGCACTGTGAATGAATTTTAGACTGGCTTGAAGGACTTCTGCTTTAGACTACTATATTGGTCAGTCATGCTGACTTTCCTGAAGTGGGTTTGGGGATAATTTAACCTGTATCTTTTCGTCAGTATTTTTTTCCAGAGCATATGGTGTCTTTTGCAACTGAAACCAATGGTGAAATTTCCCCCACACAGATTTTACAGGTAAAATATATTTTCACTAAAATATGTAAGAAATAATAAAATAACGGGAAATTTTGAGGTCCATATTTATACCTCCCCAGATTTTGGAACGTAATACCTTAAGTGATCACATTTTGCTGCAGGAAAAACTACCTGGATGAAAATTTCTCTAAGTCGGTGAAACCCTATAACAATGTCCTTTTTCCTAATTTTGGCCAATTGTCAAATGCTTTTACACATTTTATAACATGTGTAATGAAAGAAAACTTGAGAGTTTTACTCGGTGATTTGTGTTAAGATGTTAGCCTCTAGAAAAATAAAAATCCCCTGTAACATTTCAACTCGTGTACTTTAGTGTTAACTTTCATAATCATACTCAATCCTACTTAGGTTTAAAATACTGAGCATTATAGGAGAAAAAGATATATTGCATATATGGGTTTCTTGTACTTGTTTATAGTTGTGATTGAAATCCTTGCATTTAATTGTATAAAATTCTAAGCTGGATTAAAATATTAATTTTCTAGTCAAAGAATATCTTTTTATGTCTGTTGGGCTCATTTATTCCAAATGGGCAGCGAGTGGTTTGTGATGGTCATTTTATAACTTGCAGTCTTTACAATAAAAGAACAATGTCAGGTATTTATTTTATTCTGACTGACTAGTAGATTTTACATCATAAGCTCTGTAGTTGTTTTTCACAGGTTGCTACTAAATAATGTTTCTATAAAGTTGCTGTTTGAGTGAAACCTTGGGCACCTCGTTTTCAGCCCAATATACTCTGATCTTAATGAAGGCAATGTTTAATATTTCCAATATATGTATGACTTTTTTAAGTAGGTATGTCTATCACAGATTTGTTTTCTGTTAGCTTTTTAATAGGTTTTATTTAATATTCACTCCTCAGACTATTCTTAGAAATGTGATTTGTTCCAAGAGATTTTTCTAAAAGCTGCTGCTATGTACAGCTGGGTTCTCAGAGGTACCCCTGCAGAATATAGGGTGAATGGGTAAGCAACTGTGCCCTGAACCCCAGATCTCAACCCTCTAGATGCCTTCCTACTATAGTACCACACTGTGGTGGCTTGGAATACTATTTTTCTGCCTCCTTTCCCAAATCTCCTATAATATGGTTATATTGCTTTAATGTTAAATTATAAAAACAAGAGAAATGGCAGGCTTTGGAATCAGAGAGCCTTGCCTGTGCCCCTGACCTCTTCTCTCCACTGAGGCAATGTTTCCACTTTTTAAAAGGTTTCTTCTTTTTCTAGTGTGACCTCTATGACTCTCTTTTTAAAATTTAATTGGTTTGGTTTAATAACTTGGAAAGTACTCAAACTAGAAAACCTACTTGCCTGTTTTGCATGTCAATTAATTAATATCTGTGGCTCATTAAATTTAAAAAAATTTAATAATTTACTTTAAAAAACGTAAATATCTACTATCAGCATTTCCCTGAGTAGCCTTTTAAAGTATGTTACATTGTTTTAGTAATAATTTCTCTTCCAGTTTTTCCATTTTGCATTTGTTTATTCATAGGCTTTTCTATTTCCTTCTTTCAGTAAGACACTAATGCATTCCCACTGTCTTTCTGAAGACGCCAAACACAGCCACTCTAGACTCCTAGCATTTTCATTCTTGTGTTCCTGACCAACACATGCCCACTGTCTCACTTAATTACTCCTGTGTGAGAAGCGATTTCAACTCTCAATGACTTAAAGTGCCCATTCACATTTTGCCACCAGTTCTGAGAGGCAGGAATCTGGGAACCGTTGAGCTGGGTGGGTCATTTCTGAGTCCTGTTGCATCAATGGCTGGGCATTGGGAATCCTGTTCTAAGATAGTGTTTTCTTTACATAGGCCTCAGGGCTCCTGAGCCTCTCTTTTTCTCTTTCTTCACATGGTGTCTCAAACCCCAGGACTTTTCCCTTTTACTACTCACCCATGGGGTGAGTCACATTTCTTACGTGACAGCAAACTTCCAAGAATCATCCATGGACGCTATCAGGATAAATAAGTACTACATCTAAGCCGGCGCCACGGCTCAATAGGCTAATCTTCCGCCTGCGGTGCCGGCACCCCTGGTTCTAGTCCCCGTCGGGGTGCCGGATTCTGTCCCGGTTGCCCCTCTTCCAGGCCAGCTCTCTGCTGTGGCCCGGGAGTGCAGTAGAGGATGGCCCAAGTGCTTGGGCCCTGCACCCCATGGGAGACCAGGATAAGCACCTGGCTCCTGCCATCGGATCAGCGCGGTGCACCAGCTGCAGCGTGCCGGCTGTGGCAGCCATTGGTGGGTGAACCAACGGCAAAAGGAAGATCTTTCTCTCTTTCTCTCTCTCTCTCACTGTCCACTCTGCCTGTCAAAAAAAAAAAAAAAGTACTACATCTAGATAGTATCACTTCCACCATATCCTATTGGTGAAAGCAACGCCAGGCTTGCCAAACACACAGGGTTTAGAATCATACTACACCTCTCCGTGGTTCAGTGGCAAGATCACTTTGTAAAGGAACATGTGGGATGGGTGTATTGTTTCAGTCCTCTTTGGAAAACAAAAGGTGCCCTATCCGACCACAGGAGATTAAAGAAGAGAGTATTTACTTCAGTGTCGTCAAGGAGGTGAACTTGGCTCAACTTCCTGCTTAACCATCCAAGTTAGGATTGCGGTCATAATGATTGTATCATAATGAAGTTGTTTAGTAAACCTGTAACCAAAGAGCAAACCATGAAAAATGGTGAAAAGTAGCAGGACTTAATAACTCCCTAGATGTGACCAACATTTTGTATGGTGATTAAAAGAGCTTATAATTTTGGTGGTTGATTAGGTAGTGATTGCAAAGAATGTACATTTTGTGTACATGTTTTCCTTTGGAATTTGTTTTAGGTTTTTGAAAAATGTATTTCTGTTGTATATATATTGTGATTTCTGTAATGGTATTGATGCTGCTTGATTTTACATATTTATACTTGAAATTCTAACATGATTAGTATAAAGCTAAAGCATCATGGACTCAATAATAGTATAAGTACCTGATTTTCTTCCAGATGTTTCTGAGTTCAACTACATATCCTGAAATCCATGGCTTCTTACATGCAAAAGAACAGGGAAAGAAGTCCTGGAAAAAAATTTACTTCCTTCTGAGAAGATCTGGTTTATATTTTTCTACTAAAGGGACATCAAAGGTAAATTGAAAAAGCAGTGATGTGTTATGAATGGTATATTAGCTGTAAATTTAAAACAAACTTTATTTTATTCTATTAATTGATATGGAGAGTTGGTAGTTTTTAGGGGATTTCAAACATTTTACAAAATCTATTTGAATTTTAACTACTCAGCTTTATTTAGGACTTTTTTGGGGGGGCTGCATCTTGTTCATCAGTGAAATTGTGGATAATAGGTCCAGAGTATAGGAAATAATATGGCTTTGAAGAATGCATGTGTTCAGATGTGGAGAAATTCTAAGTGTGGTTATTTAATGCCAGTAGTAACTATTATAAATCCTCATTGACTTGTAGTGGAAGATGCAGCATTTTTTAATGTTATTTTGTTTGAGAGCACAGATAGCTGTAAATGGGGTAATGATGACACCTAAGCATGGAGTTAAAAGTTTGGATCATTTTGTTTTTTTCTATTGTTAGGTAGAAATGGACAAGTAGCAAAACGTGTGCTATAGTCATTATAGTTGAGCAAGGCAGAGCTGACGCTGTTTTTGGGCCTTCTGTTGCTGAGTGTAGCCTCTGTTGGGATCTGGATGCTTTGTTTCAGTCCCACATCTATTGCTCCTTCCCCCCACCACAAGCTTCCTTCTTTCACCTTATCCTAGCTACACAGGCCTGACAGAGTTTGTGCCCTTTCTTCTTTTTCCCTCAGGCCAGATGACTTATCTTGACCACTTTTGAACTTCTGATGATCAATTAGTAACACTCAACTAAGTCATTAGTGCTCTGTAGTCATTTTCTATATTATTTTGTCTCCTTACGAGATTGTAAATCCTCAAGAAAGTTATGATTTTTTGATGAGGGATGGATGTGTTTATCTGTGTGATTGTGTATATGCACCTGGCACAGGGTTACTACATATGTATGTGCAGGTTTCTGCTTGCATACACATAATCAAACACATTTGTGTGTTCCACAGTGCTCAGCACTATATTTCTATTTATCTAGTCTACATCTGCTAATCCATATAGGCTATGGGAACTGGTTCAAATCCTGGCTGCCCCACTTCCAGTGTCAGCTCCTTGCTAATGCACCTGGGAATGCAGTGTAACATGGCCCAAGTCCTTGGACCCCTCCTGCAATCACATGATAGAACCAAATGGAGTTCCTAGCTCCTTGCCTCAGCCTGGTCCAGCCCAGCTCTTGTGACTATCTGGGGAGTGAACCAACAAATGAAAGATCTCTCTCTATCTCTCTTCTTTCCCTCTGTAATTCTGTCTTTCAAATAAATAAAAGTCTTTTAAAAAGATTTATATGACCATATGGAACTTTAAAATATCAAGGAGAGACAGATTGATAGGGTGGGACCAAGGTAGGCAGAGAAGTTTGGGGAAGAGAAAGAGACAGAGAGGGGGAGAAAGAGAGAGGGGGGGGGGAGAGAGAGAGAGAGAGAGAGAAAGAAAGTTGATTAGAGGCACTAATGCTATGACTATTCCAGTAATCCAGGGTGAAGCATCTAAATGGAAATACTCAGAGCATAGCTAATGATCGAGAATCAGATATTTGGTTAATGGTCCTGAAAGGGGATGTGGGGCCATAAAGGAGTGATACTTGACTCTTTTCCATTGTCCCCAAACTATGGTTGCATAGCTTCCTCCTTTCTCTTATATACAATATTCTTTTGTTGCTGTTTTTTGCATGGATATGCACATGGTGTGTGTGTTTCCTTCAGGTATAGTATTTCATGGAACCATGTTACTAATTTAATAACCAGTTGTCTTGAAGAAATGCTTCTAGCACATATAATTTGGCTACTAGTGTTCCATCATACAGGTGTATTTAATGTTTCTTGAATATTCAACCTAATTTGCAGAATTTTCTATGATAAATATTAGGGTGAATATCCATTTTTATATTAAGGTTTTATACTGTTAATTATTTTAATGAAGTTACTGTTTCTCAGGGTGCTTCTAATATATGGATAACATATGAACTGTTTTAAAAATAAATACGTGCTGTATCATTTTTTAATTTTAACATCAGAGCAAGATGGCTTTTGAATCCCTAAATCATGCTTGTCTTATTCTCATTTCAGTGTTTCTTCACTGTAAGCTGTGATAATATCTCTTAAACTCATAAACTCTTATTCTTGAACACTTTCTCATTAAAATCCACTGCCCATAATTTTTTAAAATATTTATTTTATTTATTTGAAAGGCAGAATTACAGAGAGAGGGAGAATAGAGAGAGAGAGAGAGGTCTTCCATCTGCTGGTTCACTCCCCAAATGGCTGCAATGGCCTGCGCTGGGCTAGGCCAAGGCCAGGACTCAAGAGCTTCATGAGTCACCCACATGGGTGCAGGGGCCCAAGCACATGGGCCATCTTCTTCTGCTTTCCCAGGCACATGAGCAGAGAGCTGGATTGGAAATGAAGCATCCAGGACTTGAACTGGTGCTCATATGGGATCCTGGTAATTCAGGCAGTGGCTTAACTCACTGTCCCACAATGCCACCCCCTCCTTTTTTGTAAAGCCGCCCATCATATTTCTGTTTCACCCTTCACTTCCTTCCAGTGCCACCTATTATGCAAAAGTGGTCCTCATTCCTCTCCTAGATCCGTGCTCTCATTCCTGCAATGGACTTTCCCTTGGCAGAATTGTGAGCATGTAATTTATATTCTTGAACCATACTTTAGCTCTCTTAAACATAGTAAGAGATATATGCCTTCCATCAATGAACTCATATTCCATATTCTACATATGAAAATGATTTTAAATACCCCCTCAAAGAAAAACAAATGAAACTTTCTTCATACCCTCCATGATTATGGCCTCAATACACAGTTGGCAGGTTATCTAATGACTACTAGGCCATTTCTACCCAGCAAGAAGACCCTTCCTTTCCTTGTCTATGAGGTCTTGGTTGATGTTTACTTTCTAAAAACGTCCAGGCTGTATGGGAGCTATGATTCTTACAGATGTGGCTATGAACTATATTTACAGAGGAACCTGTAAGGACCCTCCTTTCCATCACCGCCCTACCCCAGACACAAATGCATGCTAAGATTTTGCTAACAATGCCAGCACACCATGCCATAAGTCTTTCTGGTCTGTAGTAGTAGAACAGAAATACATCAAGAGAAGAAACTAATTATATTTCTTAACTACCTTTCAATATCTCTCAAGCTGCCTTTTAATCACATTCAAATTTCTAAGCTGTCTTGACTTCTGCAGTACAAGGGATTTTTAAAAGCCTCCTGGGAAATGCATATTATGAAAAAACTATGCATACATTTTTTAAAAATTTGCATCAATATAAAATCGCCTTTTAATTCTACCTTTTCACAAACTTTTTGAAGTATCCTCCTATCAGTGGACAGGAATGGTTTTATTTCATCTGTTAGAAATCAGACACTTTTACTAACAATTCCGTTTCTGTCAAGGAATCAGGCTTTAACAGCTATGGCAGGGACTGGTGCTGTGATGTAGCGGGTAAGGCTGCCACCTTCAGTATTGGCATCCCATATGGGCACTGGTTTGAGTCCCAGCTGCTCCACTTCCAATCTGGCTCTCTGCTGTGGCCTGGGAAAGCTGTAGAAGATGGCCCAAGTCCTTGGGCACATGCACCTGAGTAGGAAACCCGGAAGAAGCTCCTGGCTCCTGGCTTCAGATCTGCACAGCTCCAGCTGTTGCGGCCCTCTGGGGAATGAACCAGCAGATGGAAGACCTCTCTCTCTCTGTCTCTCTCTCTCTCTGCCTCTGCCTCTGCCTCTCTGTAACTCTGCCTTTCAAATAAATAAATAAATAAATAAATCTTAAAAAAGAAAGGCTATGGCAATAAGAATACATTTCTCCATTTTCCTCCTTTGTTCCAAGGACCTAAACTGGGTCTTTTTTATACAGTTGTCTTTTCTGCCTTATTTTCCATGGAGTTAGGAACTACAGTGATTTGTTAGATTAAAATACTTAACAATAGTGATATACAGAGAAACTACTACCCTACCAGTTATCAGAAATGGAGTATAGCCTACCAGTAAATGCCAAGGTACTTTCTCTGGATTTGAATAGGTTGTTCATATTGCTGAATGTTCTGTGGACTTTTTTTTTTTTTTTTTTGAACACTGCTTCTCAACTTTCAGTACATATGAATCACCTGGGATCTTGTTAAAAAATGCAGATATTGATATGATAGTTCTAGGGTGGGTCCTGAGACTTTTGCATTTCTAACAAGCCCATAGGTGCTGCTGGTGCTGCTGGCCCGAGACCTCACTATTGTAACAAGGTTTTAGAGAACAAATACATTTTGGCCAGCATTGATTATGCATTCAACCCCAGATTGAAGAACTTCTCCAAGTTATTAACCTATCACAGAGTAATAGGACCCAGTGATTTCCCATGACCAGCTCTAAATCTCCTGGATTTCCCAGAGAAGAAATAACCACTCATGATTCCACTTTATCTTGAAAATCAGGTACATTACACTGCCGGATAATTTCTCTGAAAGTGTTTGTACAGGTTCCCTTCTATTCGCAAGGCCAGGCACTCAGGCAACTGTCAGTGCTGCCTGTGTGGTGTTGTGCAGCTCACAAATGCAAGGAAAGATGGCTTCCAAAGGAACATGGATCCTCGTCCTTCCTTTTTCTTCTCTAACTTGCATGGAAGTGCAAACCGACTTTCATCTCTTTGCTGAACTACCATTATTTGAAACCTGGATAAGGAAAATATTTTTAAAAGTCATTCTTTGCTATACTTTTCTCTCAGATTCTTTGAAATGGAGGTTAAAGAGAATAGGAAGTTTAAAATAAGAATGAATGAAAATATATGTTAAATCACAAGTTTCTACTTTTCTTTCTTTTTTTTTTTTTTTTGACAGGCAGAGTTAGACAGTAAGAGAGAGAGACAGAGAGAAAGGTCTTCCTTCCATTGGTTCAACCCCTTAATGGCCGCTGCGGCCTGAGCTACACCAATCCGAAGCCAGGAGCCAGGTGCTTCCTCCTGGTCTCCCATGGGGTGCAGGGCCCAAGTACTTGGGCCATCCTCCGTTGCCTTCCCGGGCCACAGCAGAGAGCTGGACTGGAAGAGGAGCAACCAGGACAGAACCGGCACCCCAACTGGGACTAGAACCCGGAGTACTCGGCGCCACAGGCAGAGGATTAGCCTAATGAGCCTTGGCGCCAGCCACAAGTTTCTACTTTTCAACATAAATACATAAAATTGTTTCTAATTCCTGGTTATTTAAGGACACTGTGACCTAGTTTGTCTTTCCTTTGTTTTTTGTGACACTGTGCTAAAATTCTTTAATTTTTGCTTGAGGTATAGACTATGCAATATGATAGAATTATAAAGATTATAAAAATACACCCAATTCAACCCTCACATGTATTTTTATTTTTAAGGAACCACGACATTTGCAGTTTTTCAGCGAATTTGGCAGTAGTGATATATATGTGTCACTGACAGGCAGAAAAAAACACGGAGCACCGACTCACTATGGATTCTGCTTTAAGGTACAGGCTTAATATTTTGATAGATGAATAAAGCAAGCCTCAGCCTTTTAGGTAAGCTTGAGTTTCTTTTAATTTCTTTTCAAAAAGAGACAGCTTTCTCTTCTATATAGGAAAATTTTAGTGACTTTTATTTCAACAGGTGTTACCTTCGAGATATGCATTAACGATAAACAATGTGCTGTGGCCTTCTAGCCTAACAAAGCAGGAGGGCCCCGAGACCTGAAAATGCTCTGTGCAGAAGAAGAGCAGAGCAGGACGTGCTGGGTGACTGCCATTCGATTACTTAAGGTAATGTTGCCGGAAGCATCGATTTACGTTAAATGCTGCAAGTACCGGAAAAGTTGGAAAACGCCTGTATTTCCAGATGAGAACACTCACCATGAATCTGTGTGGCATATGAGAAAGAAGGAAAGTAGCTACCCCCAAGTAGAGTGGCATAACCTAATTGATCTTTGTGTGTGGAATAGATATTCCATTTTAGATACGTTCTGATTTTTATTTTTGTGGGAGGATTACATACATATCTGGCATAACTGAAGGAAATGGTTCCTGCTCATGGCAGGCGGCATTTTTCAAACATTGGCAGCGATCAAGTGTGTAGTTTAAAATATAACCACCTGTCTATGTTTAATACAATTGTTTTATGATCCATTTAAGTGTTTTATAAATTTCACTCTGGAGTAGTAAGTATGATGTAAATTACTGCACAAATTGCCCTATGAATGCTTTTAAAACATTTAATTTTGTGCTAAGTAGAAACTACAACTTCCATAAGTACAGTTTGTCGGTGAGCATTTTGAAATGAGTAAAAACACAAAATTGATTTCCTCCAGAATGTACAAGGGACACGTATTTATTTTTGAAAACTGTGTACCAGTAAATTTAACACAACTTTAAATTTATAAAATTTGTCAACCATTTCCTTTCGAAGACAATTCTTTGATAGTCACTACTGAGAAAAAATTTTATTAAAAAACTACAATCCAAAGAGTGCTTATCTACATTATATTTGGTATCATTGCTGCTGAAGTCAACAAAAATACATCATTCATAACTGTAACATCTTTGGTGTAAAATGAATCTTCAGCATTTTCCAAAGTGCTCTTTAAAATTCATGCCTATGCGCTGATATATAAATTGCCAATGTATAGAGTATGTATATTATAGATATACTACATACATGATCTATTTATTACCATAGAAAGAGTCACATTATTAATATTATATGTACTAAAGCTAATTTTTTGATATATTTAGAAGTAAAAACCAGAAGCAGTGGGGTCTTGTGAAGCCTGTGTGTCTTACCATGTTATTTAGCCTGAAGAAGGGGATGTAACAAACTTATTAATTGACTTTTAGTTTGTTCACGTTTTTCCTTCTACTATTGCATTTTTTACTCTCCTGTAATTTGTTAGCCTCTACCAGCATCCTAGGCAAAAGAGAGAACTCACCCTAAAAAAGGGCAGAATAAGAAAAATTAGAATTATTAACTATCATGCCGGGTTTAGAGGAAAGATTTATTTTGTATTCTTTTATTTTTCTACTTGATATAAAATTCTCATGACATAAAATCATGTCATTTAATGCATTTTAAATATTTGCAACTATGACCTTCATCTCTTTCCAAAACATTTTCATCACCTCCAAAGGAAGCTTTATACTCTAAGCAGTTCCTCCCGAGACCTGGCAACCACCAGTCTGCATTCTGTCTCCATGGATTGACCAGTTCTGGATCTTTCATGTAAATGGAATCATAGAATATATGACGTTTTGTATCTGACTTTTATTTGGTATAATGTTTTGCAGTTGACTCACAATGTAGCTTGTCTCAACTCTTCATTCCTTTCCATGGCTGTATAATATTCCATTTTATGTATATGCATTTATATTTATTTGGATAAACATTTTGTTTATCCATTTACCTATTCATGGACATTTTGGTTGTGTTTAACATTTGGCTATTGTTAAACTGCGGCTATGAGCATATTGTGTACTTGCACTGGTTTGAGTATCAGTTTTCTATTTCGGGGGTAAATATAATTGCTGGTGATATGATAAGTCAGTGTTTATATATTTGAAAGGCAGTGTTCAGAGAGAGAGAGAGAGGAAGAGTAGGAGAGTCAGAGAGAGAGAGAGAGAGAGAGTTCTTCATCCATTTCCCAAATTGCTATAATGGCTAGGGCTGGGCCAGACTGAAGCCAGGAGCCAAGAGCTTCCTCCAGATCTCCCACATGAGTGCAGAGACCCAAATACTTGGGCCACTCTCTGCTGCTTTCCCTGACCATTAGCAGGGAGCTGGATCAGATGTGAAACAGCCGGAACTCGAACCAGTGCCCACGGGGGATGCTAGTGCTGCAGGTTGCGGTTTAACTGCTGTACCACAACACTGCCCAGAAAGTTATATTTTTATAATGGTTTAAATAAAGCTTTTGCTTTAACTGTGAAATTTATTTATTTTTGCTGTTTTGGCAGGTAGCTACTATGGTTTGTGAGATGTTTGTTTCTCATCTACTCCACTGTGGGGAGGTTGTGATTAGTAGGAATTCTCATGAAATATAGTGGCTATTGTGTTGATGTCATTATTATAAAATGTGGAAAAAAAGAAAAGAAAAAATAACTTTAGAGGGTCTTGGAGATAAAGTTGTTGAGGCAGGAGTAGCTACTATAGGTAACCAGGGACGTAGCATGGACTCACCCGAGAAGCCTTCTGAAGCTGTATACCACCCAGTCCCATCCTGGAGGAACCCGAGTTCCTGAGTTACATGTGTCTGTGGGATGATGACCCGCTGACATCCCCCAGCCCTCTCCTACCAGTGGTTATGGGGGTGGGAGAGGTGAGGAAGAATCCCTTGCGGTCTCTGGTTTTCTTTGGCTTCAAAATCCTGGAAGTTAGGATAGGCTAGAAAAAGGATCCTTTCTAACCTTGCTAGCCCAGTCTTTCTCCCTTCTACCTTAGGCTCAGCGTTAGACACTTGCCTCAGAACCAGGAGGTGAGCCCATTTTCTCTAATTAGTGTTTCAGTGAGATTGAGGCACCATTGATTGGACTAGGATAGACTAGCATTTTTTGGTAGTAGTGAAAAAAAGATATATGATACCAAAAACACTGACATAAGACAAGAGTTTGGCCCTACACTTGGGATGCCTGCTCGAACATCATATATCAGAGTCCCTGCTTCGAGGCCTCGCTTCAGATCCAGCTTTCTACTAAGGTGCATCCTGAGAGGCAGTGGTTTTGAGTTAAGCACTCGGGTCCCTGCCACCAGCATGGGAGACCTGCTTGCTCCTCACTTCTGCCTGGCCCAACCCTGGTCTTGTGGGCGTTTGGAGAATGGACCGGCAAATGGGAGATTACTCTCTGTCTCTCCCTCTCTCTTTCACTGTGTCTTTCTGCCTTTCAAATAAATCAGTGCATTTTTTTTTTTTCAGTGATGCTAATGAGTTTAAAAACGTTTACTCATTTGTAAGTCTGCTTCTCTGGGTGCTAAGAGAACATCCTGCCGTGTGCCATCAAGAGCTTTGTGGAGGCAGAACCTCTAAGAAACATGCTCTGTCATGATCTGTGGGTTGTCTGTCTAGCCTCTGACAGCCTTTCTGCAAGGATTGATGCTGGTGATTTCTTGATCTCACCTGAAGTGTCAGGCAAGGACAAGTCACGAGGTCCACAGTCAATATGCTATAGATTATAGGGTGCAGCCGAGTTTACGTACGTTAAATTTTGAAATGCATGTCCAGGAATTGATGAAATTCATTAAAGGCTGTCTTTAATGCTTCTATTTCTGGGATACTTAGCTTCTTTTTGTCTTGTCTAACTTTTATGTCTCATCTGATAGATCTCAAAGCCCCTTAAAGTTATAGATTCCAAGTTCAAAGATATTCTGAGGTGTTAGTTTTCTATGGCAGCTGTAATTACTGTCAGTGCTATGGCTTAAAACAAGTTTTGGCCTGCATGTCTTTAATTTGGAAGTCTGAAAAAGTCATGTTCTGTTAAAATCCCACTGTCACCAGTGTACCAGGACCGTGGTCCATTCGGGGGCTCTAGGAGAGAATCCTTTTCTCTTGTTCTTTCCTGTTGTCAGAGGCCACCCAGATGCCTTGGCTGATGGCTCTTCCTCCGCCTTCAAAGCCAGCGACATCTAAGTCCTGCTCACCCTACCATCCACTTGGTTTTGTTTCTTCTGTCTCCCACTTCTGTTTCCCAAGCCCTTTTGATTGCATTGGGCCCAGTTAAACAATCCAGCATTATCATCTTCATCTCACAGTCAGCCTTCATTCCCTTTTGCCCTATAGCCTAATGTATGTTCGAGTTCTTGGGATTACGATATGGACATCTGTAGGGGAGTGTTGTTCTACCTACCACATCCATTTGCCCTGTTCATTTCAATAATGGTGGCACTTTCCAGATGAAGCAGAAAATGGAAGTGGGAATCCATGAGAAACTTTATCCTGGAGCCAGTAAGAAACCAGACAGGAAAGTGATGTGAACTGCTTCACACTTTGTTATCCAGGTCACAGTAGGCCGAGGCTTGCCATAGGCTGGCCAGGGCAGACCCAGTGGTGTTCCAACAGAGGAGGGAGTGGCCACTCATTGACAGCTAGGCTCCTGTTTGGTTCCCCTGGCTCATGCAGCTTTAATACCTCCTGTGTCTATTGTGTTATTTCCAACATTTGTCATTGTTCTTAGTGGGAAGGAGCAGGGAGGTAGTCTGTATTATGTTGATTTTACTAGAAATGCCTTCAATTTCATTACACCAGATTTACTAGATACAGCTTATACCAAGAATGTGGCCTCTTAATTCTTGATTCACTTTCTTTTTTCACATTCATGTATAAACTCTTCGTGTAGGTCAGATGGAGGCACTCTTTTTCTCTCTGGAGATCTAGTTATATATAGAATTATAGAAAATCTGAGACTTAAAAATGAGAGATTTGCTCGTGTGTAGTGTCCTAGTCTCACGTTGTCTCTTTCCCTCCCCTTTCTTTAGAACTCTGCCAGCTTCCCTCTAACATATTTTGGTCCCCTCTCTGCCCCTCCATAGGACAGGGAATGTTAAGGTGACCCGTGCCTTACCCCTCGGCCAGAGTTAAATACCTACTAAACGCCTCCAACAGCACAAAGGCAGCTACCTAACCGGCAGGTACCCAGGACAATACATCTTTGAAGAAAACAGTCTGATTAGTAGGTAGAAGGCTTTTCAATCCTGATAAATAAAAGGTAGCTAAGCAGCATGTTTCTTGTGAAAGTGTTGGCTTGAGGTTATTATATATTCTCCAAAATGAACTTGACTAGAAATTAAACTCCCCTGTCTTCTTTTTAAAGTTATTGTAGGCTAAGAGTTGATTTAAAGCAAATTTCATTAGGTCCCATTAATGTCAATCAAACCTTAAATTAAAAAATAATTTTTAGAAGTTGGGAAATAATTGGATAAAGAAGTCAGCACAGAGAATTTTAAATGAATGTGGGTTTGTATTCATGTTAAAAGCAAAATCTTGAAAACAGTGACTCCTTGAGATTCCCTCTGATTTTTTTTTTTTGGCCTAATTACCAAATGTATCTACTTTGCTGGAACTGCTTTTTAAGGAAATAGTCCCTAGTGGAGAAACAACTCTGTTGGGATGTTTAAATGGAATTAATCGTACTGGTGTGATTTAATTCCTAGGTATCTTTCTCTTTATATATGAGACCTAACTTAATTAAGGCAATGGGCAGGGGGACACCCATGTGAACACTCAAGGCCTTGGCAGAGTGGGGAGTGCCCAGGAATTAGGCAGGCAAGCAAGTGGGTAGTTCATGGGCTGGCACCTGGCAGTGCACCAAGTGCCAGCCATCAGAAGAAGGTCGAGACAGGGAATAGAACATGGGACTCTCAGAAGTTTTGTTTTTACTTATTTAGAGAGGCAAAGAAAGGAAGATCTGGAGACAGAGTCAGAAGGTTCCCTTCTGTTGGTTCACTCCCAAATGTTCACAATATTCATAGCTGGGTCAAACCAAAGGCAGGTGCTGGAAACTCAATCAAGGAGTTCCATGGGTGTGGCAAGAACCCAGTCTCTTGAGCCATTACAACTCCCCCCATCCCTGGGCCTGAATTAGTTAGAAGCTGGAGTCAGGAATTGCAGCTGGAACCCAGGTCCAATACAGGGGGCTGGTTTCCTAACCCCATAGGTTAAATGCTTGCCTCTAGGACCTGATTTTAAAATTCATTGTAAGGATTGGGCCTGCGTTGCATGAAGTGCTTGGGCTCTTGTTCTACATCCACTATCCCTCCCAGCTTCCTGCTAATACACACCAGGGGAAGTGGCAGTAGGTGATGGCTCAAGTACTTGAGTTCCTGCCTCATACATAGGAAACCCAGACTGGGTTCCTGGCTCCAGAACTCTGGCTTAGCTCAGCCCTATTGAAGGCATTTGGATGGGGGTCTCTCTGTGTGTGTCTCATTGCTTCTTTTTTCTTTTAAAATTTTTTTAAAGATTATTTATTTAAAAGATGGAGAGGGTCCAGCACCGTGGCTCACTTGGTTAATCCTCCAACTGTGGTGCCAGCATCCCATACGGGCACCGGGTTCTAGTCCCAGTTGCTCCTCTTCCAGTCCAGCTCTCTGCTGTGGCCTGGGAGTGCAGTGGAGGATGGCCCAAGTGCTTGGGCCCTGCACCTGCATGGAAGACCAGGAGGAAGCACCTGGCTCCTGGCTTTGGGTCTGTGCAGCTCTGGCCGTAGCAGCCAATTGGGGAGTGAACCACCGGAAAGAAGACCTTTCTCTCTTTCTCACTGTCTATAACTCTACCTGTCAAATAAATTAAAAAAAAAAAAAAAAGAGAGAGAGAGAAGGAGAAAGAGAGATCTTTCATCTGCCTGTTCATACCCCAAATGGCCTCAACAGCCAGGGCTGAGCCAGGCAGAAGCCAGGAGCTGAGAGCTTCCTCTGGGTCTCCCACGTGGGTGGAGGGGGCCCAAGCGCTTGAGACATCTTCTGCTGCTTTCCCAGGCCATTAGCAGTGATACCTCCTTGACAAGTGTGACATTCATATTGTTTCTCAAGACAATAAGTAATTATTATCCAGACCTACTTTGTACCATAAAGTATGGTATCCTTCCCATGTGAAGTTTCTTGTTATTGGACAACTCCAGTGGGTTGTGATATCATTTGCTGCTAAGAATAAAGAATAGAAATGCCACTTCCTAGATACTAATAGTAGTGAACTGGACCTTAACTTGTGTGGGTCCATTTGGAAAATACTTTATTTTCTTTTTTTAAAAAAAAGGTTTATTTATTCATTTGAAAGTCAGAGTTACACAGAGAAAGAGAGGCAGAGAGAGAGAGAGAGAGAGAGAGAGGGAGAGTCTTCCATCCACTGATTGACTCCCCAGTTGGCCGCAATGGTCAGAGCTATGCTGATCCAAAGTCAGGAGCCAAGAGCTTCTTCCAGGTCTCCCACATGGGTGCAGGGGCCCAAGAACTTGGGCCATCTTCTACTGCTTTCCCAGGCCATAGCAGAGAGCTGGATTGGAAGTGGAGCAGCTCAGACTCAAACTGGCACCCATATGGGATGCCGGCACTGCAGGCAGCCGCTTTACTGGCTACCCACAGTGCTGGCCCCTGAAATACTTTCTTTTTAAATATGTCCTTTCAGGGCATCAAAGTTTATCTTTCAAAATTATTGCTGTTTTACTTATTTGCTTTAAGAATCTCATAATTCTTTATTATACTGGTAATGTATAATCAGTGAACATGTTGATTTTCCTAGACCATCAATGTTTTTCCTCTGTTCACTCTGCAGTATGGCATGCAGCTCTACCAGAATTATATGCATCCATATCAAGGTAGAAGTGGCTGCAGTTCTCAGAGTATATCACCCATGGTAAGCACCATGTTTTTGAACCTATATTGTATTTTATAATTGCATTATGTTAATTTGCCATCATAAAGGTATATTATAGTACATTATCATTTTATTTTTATAAAGTAAAATAACTAACAACATTCTTGTATGATGTTATATTGAACATTTTGTTTTTGAGTTTACATGTTCTTAACTTATATGATAAAATCATAATAAATTATTTCACTGAGGTGTATATATATATGAATTATTTCACTGAGATGTATAATGTTATACATTAAAGAAAATTTTATAGATTTGTAAGAATCATGTGTGTTACTCTCTATCATTACCACATGTGAGGCTTTGATCTTAATAAGATGGTTTGTAGGATATTTTCCCTGTTATTGAAGATTATGCTTTTCTTAATTTTTAGTTTTGAATGTTTTTGATTATCATAATATAGTAAAAAGATGCTAATGATTTGAAAGGCTAAAAGCTGCAGTATGTGCACATATGAGCTCTTCTGCATTCTGGCCTTCTAACAATAATTCTGTTTTTAAGTTTTAGGTCTTTATAAAGCAGACTGCTTTCCAGGAAACCCCAAAACTGCAAGCCAAATATAGGTCATACATTACATTAACTCCAGCACTGCTTCTCAGATTTATGCTAAATGTAACTTGGATATTTATTTGCAGACACACACTGACACATCTTTTCCCTTCTTTCGGATCTAATTTTAATTTCCTTTGCATTAACACAAAAAATTTATTTATGAACTAAAAGTTTATGTTCCACTCTTTTTGCTGCACTCCTTAATATTGAGTATATTGGGAATTCATATGTATGTGCCTGTGTTACAAATCAGTTCATGTGTATTTTTGAAAACTGCATTTCCACTTAGGTTAAAAATATGCTCTTCATGGCTGTGACCAAGGAAGGTGCATTTATCCCACATGTAATGTAGCAGATGAAATGCTCAGTTCTAGGAATGAGGCATGAAATAATGTTGATTATGAAGACTGATAGACTAGAGAGAAAAATAACTCCAATTTTGTAGTTATGTTGCTTTAAGTTATGGAAGAATAACTTCTCATCTTCATATCATATTATGTTTAAACCCTAAAATCAGAAACTAGGAAATGTGATGAATTTTTATAAAAGCAGTCTCTGTAAAGTGAATTTTTTTATAATTTGTCAGCTTACTTATCTTTCAATCCATATGTATATAAAAAGAATAATGCATTTTATTATCTTAATCCTTTCCTAAATCCCTCCAAATTTCTTTTAGAGTCTAATGTTGTTAAGATGAGCTTATTAATCACAGCCAAGTATTTGGAGGCAATTATTGTTTAGTCTCCTCTTAATTCATAGGAAAAAATTTCTAAATGGAGTACCTTCCATTATCATCACTGTCATTAGCATACAGGTATGGTGTTATTCTTGCTGTTTTCCATGGAAAGGGATCTGCTGTTGGTCAGATGTGTTTGAGAGCTGGGTTGATGTGGCTTTGCTCAACACCAAGTACTGGAAGACACTAACTGAATGAATCTAACTGGAGTCGGGATTATAGCAGAAAAGGGTCTGGTGCCTTTGTGGTAAGGACCTGACCTCTATGGGCATTTTTATGATCAAAGGGGGCAGAGGTTGAGAATCATACCTCCACTGTTCACAATAATGCCCCTGTTCTGTGAGGTGTTTGTGTTTGCTTTGCTGTCTGGACAATCTGTACTTTTCTACATGGAAGAAGTGGTGACCTAATAGATCCCAGTTCTCCCCACCTGCCTCTGTTGTCACTCATCAGAGGCCATTTTCAGTGAGCAACACAGAAAGTTCATCTATTTTAGTGATGTTTTTAAAGGAACAATATTCACTTCTAAATTTTTCTAGCTGTTTATTTTGAGAAGGGAGAAGAGAAAGACATACGGTAATGAGCTATGTTCTCTATAGCACATAACAGCCATGATGATCAGCCTTGAAAATGAGGATCAGCAGCAGCAATTTCAGAAAGTCAAAGACATTTTCTTCCATGGAGAGAAAACAGTGTTCGTTGACAAGCAGCAATTGTTAGTATGGCCCTGGCTGGGGTGCTGTTAACATGGCCCCATAGCTGCAAGTTGGGTGCTGGGAAAAGGCCACTCATGCTTTCTCCTTCACTGTTGACCCTGGACTAGAGATTCTAAACTGCAGTTTCTTTCCTGTATCCCCCGACTCTGCTACATACAGAACCCTAGATAGGTAATATATTTTACTGCCTTTACCACAAGCTGTCTGTGACACCATGGTCAAGCCATTGGCACCATGCAGTGTGAACAAAGAGAGATGGTTTCATAATCTCTAGAGAACGTTACATCTCTGGTGTCCCGGGCCTCTGTATGAAGCAGTATTTGGGGAAATTCTAGACCCTTCAAATAGGATGACAGAGTGTGTGGCTACTAGGAGCCCCCAAGGTCAACATTTTACTGGCAAACCTAAGAGTGAGTGTATCTAACCTCATGGTATGGCCCGGATAACCCAGGATATATCCAGGCCTCTTCTTAGAGAGAAAGCCAGGCCACCAAAATCACGGACCCTTTTTTAAGGTCTGCTCTACTATTCCCCTAAGAAGAAAGAGCTGATAAAAGGGACAAATATTTGAGAAATACAACCAGTTCTGAAGTCCAACCAAATTACTTTCCTATGAGAAAGAAATTGAGCTGACGATGACCTTTTGAGTTTAAGTCAGACTCCGCTTTACTTCCATTTCTTTGTCCACCAAAGGTAAACTATTAATTTTTCATCCACCACCTGCCATTCAGTAGAAAACAGTTGCTTTATTTCCGTGTTTTCTCTTTAGTGGTGTTAATGTAACAAATGAAAATATTTCCTATTTGTAGTGCAGTCTCCCTACTATGTCACATAATTATAGAATACAGATCTTGTTTTACATTTTGGCTTCCTGTACTGAATGAAACCTAAAAAAAGGAATGACTGATTATGTTTATTTTTCTTTCCTAACAGTGTTTTTATGTTATCAGGGACTTGCGATTGCAGAATCCATCTTGGCATGTGGAGGTAGAGATATTATAAGGATAAAGCGATCATTACGACTGAGGCTAGTTACTCTGTGGTTGGGGCAGGTGGACGCTTTTCATTAATGTCGGCAAAGCAAAAGTGTATCCAACTAGTCCACAGCCCAGCACAGAAGATCATGGGGTGAGAAGGGCAAACTAAGGTGTGACAGCAAATAGAGATTACAGAGACAGCATCTGTCTGGAAAGAGCAGCTGTCAGTTATAAAAGCTCCTGTAACAAATGAAAGATTGCACGCCAGATCTCTAGAAATATAGATGAACCGTAATAAGATTGTGGGCCACTCCAGCATGGTTTGAAGAGAAAATAAGAAATGCTAGTAAGTGGGATGTGTGATGCAGCGATAACGGACCCCTAAATTTCTTTGTGTGTATGTGTGTGTAAAGCTTTGTTTGAAGCCTACATTTGACAACAGTCTGTTTGACCAATCTAGAAATGACTGAATCCATGTAGATATAAGTCAGTTTAAGCCCCGCGTTCCCTAATGCAGGATGGTTCATACTTCACCATTGTAGCTCCAGTTTTGGTTTTGGTCCTCAATGAATTGGTGGAAAATAACTGTTAAATATTTCCCATGTTTTTTTTTTCCTTTTGAGGATTTTTAATTCCTCTTCATATTATATAGACTGAGTGAGAATCCTGACCAGTAATTTTGACGTTTGCCTTTTTTATTTTTAGTATTCATGACTTAATGTACATTGTTATACTTTATAAAACATGATTGTCAAGTAGTGCCCCAAACAAACAAAAAAATAAGACCCAGGTTCTGGATATTTTACTTTCCTTTGAGAATGTGAATACAAAATGTAATGAGCAATAAAACAATGACTTCATTATTTCTTTAAATCATATTTGTTTAAAAATGTATTCATCTGTGTCATTTCTTTCATCATTTAGACTTATTTTTCAACTCTCATTTGGTCATATCCTCACAAGATGAAAAAGTGTTCTGGGGGAGGCACTGGTAGCAGAGGGGTGTAAGCCATTGCTCCCGGGGGGACCCACATCCCATATAAGAGTGCCTAGGATGGAGTCCCAGCTCCATTTCTGATCCAGCTTCCTGCTAATGTGCACCCTGGAAGGCCCTAAATGATAGCTCAAGTCCTTGAGTGTCTACCAGTCACAAAGAGATCCTGATGGAGTCCTTGGCTTCTGGCTTTGGTCTGCCCTAGCTCCAGCTGTTGCAGGCATTTGAGGAGTTAACCAGTTCACTCTCTCTCCCTCTTTCTCTGTCATTCTGCCTTTTAAGTAAATACATCTTTAAAAAACAAAAATGTTCGTATATTAAATCATAGAAATCTCAATATAGAATAATCAAATTATTACACACAAATGTTATATTCTAAGTAAGATGAAGGTTGATGAGATAAACTTTTTAAATATATTCTAATTTTCCCTGTTATGAAACAAGAGTACTATTTCTAAAGAGATATTATATGTCAGTCTAACATAGTTTTTGTACATCTTGATTCATAAATCCATAAATAGGTGGATTTGACTTTTAATTAGTAATTGATATATATCAAAGCTTAATAGATTAATTCAGAAGTAATGTCTATTTTCAACCTTCAGAATGGCCATTCCTGTTTCAGTCTTCCTGTTGTGCCAGAGAATATGAAGATAAGGTTGTTCCATAAGAAAGACATGCCTTCCTGGAAAGCTTTTAAACTATTTTTCGGTGCTTAGTTCAATTATCTTGACAAATAACTGTAATTTATTTAATCAAAATGTTTTACAGCACCATTTTATCTTGAATATAATATATTAACTTTTTGATTTATTGCCACTTTTGGAATCCCATTCTAGAATAAATAAATATATAAATAAATAAAAGAAAATTTTAAAAAACTTGTTCATGGTTCAAATGTGTTTTCTTTTTCCAGAGGAGTATATCAGAGAATTCTCTGGTAGCAATGGACTTCTCAGGTCAGAAAAGCAGAGTTATCGAAAATCCCACAGAAGCCCTTTCAGTTGCAGTCGAAGAAGGACTTGCTTGGAGGGTACACAGAGCTTCATTTTCCTCAAAACATTTATAATTTGAGCTTGCTTTACCCAAAAAGTTGAAATTTGTTTCCTCTTCTTTGCACAGAAAAAAGGATGTTTACGCCTTGGCGTCCATGGTAGCCCCACTGCTTCTTCGCAGAGCAGTGCCGCAAACATGGGTATGTCTGTTAACAGTTTTGTGACTGAACTGATAGATGGACCTTTACATGTAGTCACTAAGTGGATGTTGTAGAAAGTGCATGCAATGAAATTGTTATCACTTCAAACAAAGCTTTGCATTCATCCATTTTATTTCTTCAGCTATCCACCGCTCCCAACCCTGGTTTCACCACAAAATTTCTAGAGATGAAGCTCAGCGACTGATTATTCAGCAAGGACTTGTAGATGGGTATGTTTGGTATTTTTAATCTCAAAGATAGTGATTCACATCTATTCTACAGATAGTAATTATTTATTCAACACAACATACCCAAAGAGGTTTTGATTTTGGCTTACTGTAATACAAAAGAGCTTTTTTTCTATAAGGGTGGTGCCATTTTATTCTAGCAGTATCTTTGTAATACCTGTACATAGTATGTAACTAGTATTTGTGTATAAGTGACCAAATAGCAGAATAGGATGCTTTGTTCTTAACCAGTATCACAATTCTGTGCCAATTCTGGCTTCTCAGATATTAATTGGTGGGGGAAAACTGAACTTGTTTTTGGATGTCACCATTTTGAGTTAAACATATAATTAAAGACTAAAGTATGGTTTATATCATGACCTTATCTTACATTTTTTTTTAGGCAGAGTTGCAGAGTGTATAAAGTAAAAAGCTATACACACACATAAACATTTTTTTCTGTCTACATCCCTGTTGTCTTTTATTTTTTTAAAAGATTTTATTTATTTATTTGAGAGGTAGAGTTACATGCAGAGAGAGAGAGAAACAGAGAGAAAGGTCTTCCATCTGCTGATTCACTCTTCCAAATAACCGCAATGGCAGGAGTGGGGCCAATCCAAAGCCAGAAGCCAGGATCCCCTTCCAGGTTTCCCATGTGGGTGCAGGGGCCCATGCATCTAGGCCATCTTCCACTGTTTTCTCAGCCCATCGGCAGAGAGCTGGATCAGAAAAGTAGCAACAGGGACATGAACCAGTGTCCATATGGGATGCCAGCAATGAAGGCAGAAGCTTAGCCTACTACACCACAGCACCTCCCCAGTCTTTTGTCTGAATTTTAACACAAATTTATAAAGTAACATAAATGAATACAAAATGGAATATTTATAATCTGAAAAATTAATTTCTTTCTCAAATTTCTCAGTGTTTCAGAAACTTTCTATAAAGCCTGCTAAATTTCCTTCCTGTGTGCAGAACAAAGATGGGAGGTTTTATTGAGGTTTGGATGAGAAGTAAAACCAATATCAATTTAAATAAGTGATGATGGGATCTTTTATCTTCAAAGGTTAGCTTAAGATGATGACAAGGTTTTGAAGTGATTTAATACTGACATTTGGATAAAAATGCATCTTCACATGGAAGATTATTAATAGCAAGTCAGCATTTCACTAGACTCTAAATAAGAGAAGATTTTAATATGCTTCTCTCCACGAGTGCAGTCTTTTTGGTTATAAATTTGAACAAGAGCATAACTACAATCTATTGAGACCAAGAAAAGAAATCACAAAGAATTATTAAAATGTTTGTAGGATTCTAATTTCCTTTATTTCTGAGCCCTGTTTTTGTAAACTGAACTGAATAATTATCCAAAGAATAACACAACTTTTTAAATTTTTATTTCTTAATGGCATTTCTTTGGAAAGATGGTGTCAAGTGGTCCACTAGGTGGTAGTGATGTTCTGTTTGGGAATGGGGAGAGAATTGCAGATTAATTTCCCAGTGAAATGTCCTTTGTCCCAACTCCTAGTGGTGCAATGTCAGAATCTAACACAGCACAAAGGAAATGGGTAATTTCTTCAGACATCTGTGATCCTTCAAATTTGGCTTCCTCTCTGCCTAGGCACAGTGAGATTAATACCAGAGTCACCAGTGGGGACCATTTACAAAGTGTGTTTGCCAACAATTAGTACAAGACTGATTTTATGCTGCCTTGCCAGTAAATAAGAATATGTGTCTGGCAGCCTTTTTCTCTTAGATCCTTAGGCTGTGTCTGATTTGTCTAGCCTGACATCAGAGAGGCTTTTCCACTGCATTCTTCCAGACTAAAATGCATGTAATTTGGGTGTTTCTTTTACTTAAAACATTTGTGTTTAAACAATAAATGATCTCAAGATTGATTGTTCAGAATGTATTCTTTTCTTACTTTGTGTTGTGTATGTAACTGTGAAAGTCAGACTTAAATGAAGAAAGAGTATCCAGTGTACAGGAAAGGATAAAATAAAGTGAATTTATTCTAAATAATCATCTCTTTAAATGGGGGCCTAATGTGACCCAGAAGTTAAAATAACAATATGCTAATATCTTAGTCTGTGAGTAAAGCTATATGTGAGTATCCAATTTTCCTGTGGAAAAGGGACATAATACTAATTACTGATGCCAGCATATTTTTATATTGATTTTTGGGAGCAAACAGTCTGACAAATGGGCTGTATGTTTGTCCTATTGAAACTGTATCAGCACCCAAGCCAGTATTAAAGTATAAGATTATATTATGCATTATACCATATCATTTACCAACTTGGGTAATCTTACCCATTGCACCCACAATTAAGGATCCCCAACTATAATTTATGAATATGCTTTCTGGATGTGTTATACACTATAATTCTGTGAAACCCATGAGTAAATGTAAAAACATATTGAAATTCCTTCTCTCTTTTTAGAGTTTTCTTGGTACGGGATAGTCAGAGTAACCCCAAAACTTTTGTACTATCAATGAGTCATGGACAAAAAATAAAGCACTTTCAAATTATACCAGTAAGTAATTTGTGATTTCACATTTGTATATTAGAGATGATCTTAATGCATAAGCTTTTGGAAACTTTAGTTTTCTTTTGTTCCTTTTTATTAAATATAATTTGGAAGCTTGTGCTTTGACTAAAGTTAAGTTTGGCAGAAATGGTTTTATGAGCCTGAATTAATATAAGAAATACAGGAATTGTAAAAATTAAATTTTCTTTTTTCCATGAAATATGATTTAGCAATATTGTATAGACCCCATGCCACCTATTGTTAAAAGGCCACTAAAGATACGTTCTCCTGAATTCTACTAATGGTTCTTTAGAAAACATTATTTTAAAGCTCTTTCTCTTCCATTTTCTCAAAATTGATTTTTCATTGTTTTGTTTTTAATCATTATGGATAAAAACACAGGTGCTATGAAACTGGTGGACATTGAAACTATTCTGAGCACATTTTAAAATGTTCTGTAATTCTGCTTCTGGGTGCCACAGTTTGCTGTGGGATTTTGTTGCTTTTGCCGCTGCTGCTGCCACTGTTGTGTGTGTGTGTGTGTGTGTGTGTGCGTGTGCGTGTATGTATGTGAAGTGCATATTGGAACCAGGTAATATGAAAGATTCAGTCTACTTTCATGATAGGGTTTCTTAAGATTACTAAATTGTTCATGCATCCTTTTGAATTGCTTTTTTTTTTGTACTTATCCAAAGGGTGTAAAAATATCCTCCTTACTTCATTGAGTATGTGGTCAATGTCCCCAGCAAGTGTGAGTTGTTTAATGCCAGATGACTTCACTGCCAAAAAGAAGACAATTGACATTCCATTAATGTAATATTTGATTGTGTCAGAATCAATTTGCTGATGGAAATTATGTGAATATTCATTTTAAATACACTAAGTGAGGCTGTTAAGTAGACCACACTTAGAAATGGAAATTAATTTTTGTAAGTGGAAGCATTAAAATCTTCTGTTTACTTTTACACTGGGTACTACGGCTTTCTCAACGCTCATTGACTCAAAATAGTCATACTACCCAAACTACACAGAATGTTGGCATAATTACAGGTCAATAAAGTGGAATCACACTGCTTTAAATGAGGAACAGATTATATTTCTTTTAAATGCAATTGATGTTACCTAAAAGAACTGGACATGCCACAGTATTCTTTTCACTATCATTCAGTTATATGAACTTATCAATTTTGGCATGGTAAGGCATGGAGAAAAATTGTGCAATGACATAGGATTGTTCTGGGTAATTTGACCAAATCTTGACCAGTTTGTTGATTTTCCTCCTGCAGATTGAAGATGATGGTGCAATGTTCCATACACTGGATGATGGCCACACAAGATTTACAGATCTAATTCAACTGGTGGAGTTCTATCAACTCAATAAGGGTGTTCTTCCTTGCAAGTTGAAGCATTATTGTGCTAGGATGGCTCTTTAACCAAACCAGAAGTGACTTGTGAAACTATTGAAGGAAAAAGAACTCAAGAAGAAAATTAAGAGAGAGACCATAAATAAGGGTGAAAATGTTAACCATGGGGAAAAGAATGTATTTCATCTCAAGTTACAAGAAAGAGTTATACATTGCAAATAAGCAAAGACTTGGATTGACATTATATTCATCATTTAAAGTTCATTAGTTAAAAATTAAACTTTAGGAAAAAATTGGCTTGATGTGTTCTTGTGTTATTTTACATTACTATACTTTTTTCAAATATGCATACAGATGTACATCAATCTTTCCTTCTCTACTATATAATATTATAACTTTAAAATACAAACTAGGAAACAATAATGGGATTAAAAATGAATTATTTACAGACTGAGCTTTAATTATACTGTTTTTTATTATTAAGAACAGTGAGAAAAACTTGAGTTATCAATTAAAAGGAGCTATCCACAACTTGTTAATAAAACTAAACTACTTCAAATTATGTATCTTCTGATTTATTATAATCTTCAAATAGCATATTTTTACATAGTGTATTAAAATTATTTTGAGATATATAGAGTTGTTATGGATAAATTTATTACATTATTGAATTACTATACTATGAAATCTATACTGGTATTCTGCCTACTAGAACATAGGTTTAGCATGTAATCTATGACAGCACAACATTGTCATCTTGGATAGCTCACATTTGCCCCATATTCTGACTTTCAGAACACTTTAGACAGTCAGTAACAGAACATTAACCCAATCAAAACAGGTGAAATGAAATATTCAAAATCTAGAAAGATCCTCATAGATAACTCCTTGTTTTCTTATTGCCTAGCTGCTTTTCAGTTTCTTACTATGGCAGCTCCAATATGGAAGCCACACATTTTGAAAGCTTTAACAGTCATTTCCTTCTTACTTCTGTGAGATCAGCTGGGAAATTTTGAGGTTGTGATGACTGTTTCCATTGTATTGTGGTGAGGGTATTCATTTTTCTAAAAAAATAGAAAAAGCAAACATGAAATAAGCATTAAAGTCATACAAAATACTGTTTATCTCCTCTAACTGCCCTTTATAGCAATAACATGGGAAATTTTAAAAAGTTTTTTTTTTTTTTTAAATATTACTTCAGGGGCTGACACTGTGGCATAGTGAGTAAAGCCACCACCTGCAGTACCGGCATCCCATATGAGTGCTGGTTTGAGTCCCAGCTGCTCCACTTCTAATCCAGCTCTCTACTATGGCATGGGAAAGCAGTAGAAGATGGCCCAAGTCCTTTAGACCCCTGCACCTGTGTGGGAGACCTGGAAGAAGCTGCTGGCTCCAGGCTCCAGATCTGCACAGCTCTGATCATTGTAGCCAATGGGGAGTGAACCAGTGGGTGGGAGACTTCTCTATCTCTCTCTCTCTGCCTCTCCTTCTCTCTGTGTAACTCTTTCAAGTAAATAAATAAATGCTCATAATTGAGAAGCTGCTCATAATGTTTCTAACAATATATTTCTGAGGCCACAAGTTAAAGATTTACAGAAAAGAAAGGCTGACCTATTGGCTGAGCACATAAGAATAGTCACCTAAAATACACTGCAGAGATCCCCCAAGTGAATTTCTAACCATCATAAATATTTGTGTCTGCATTTGGTTTATCATATGAGTAGTTCTTTGCCATGCCAATATCCTTTGTAAGTATAAATAATTCATCACTTTCTAATTCAACTCCATGTATTACATACAGCATTAGAAGCTGGAGGTAAGATCGTAGCTCTGCCGTCTTTCTTGATGGATTTGAATTCTATCCCATTACTCAGTAACTATGTAGCCTTGGACAAATTAGTTTCTTCACCTCTATAGAGGAGATCACCACTGCCACCACCATCATCACCCTTCCTTGAGTTGTCTTGGCAGTGAAGTATATCATTCATATGAAGTGACTTGCCTAGAATCTTAATTGATAGGCATTTTTCTTGCACTAGTGATTATGTGCTTAGGGCCTTCATTTCCCAGGGCCTCCACATCCCCCTTCCATTGAGTGCCTTCACTGTGCTACTTCTGATTTGCCCTTCTTGCCAAGAATGTGACATTGCACATTATATATTATGCTTCTGCCCTTGGTATAGTCTTTCATGCAAGGCTGCTTTTATAGAAGTAACCAAGAACACTACAGTGGAGTGCTGACCAGTCCATCTGTATGGACTGTGTGGAGAACTCTACTGAGTACACCTGTGCCAAATACTATAGACTCCCAGGCTTCTTTTCTGTTTAAGAAGATGAAATGTGATTTCGGGTTCTTGCACTCTAGAGCTCTTCCCCAAAATCACAATGGTAGATAGGATGGAAAATATAGAAGGTTTGAAACTCATTTTAGAGAACTTGCTTGGACAGCGTGAAAAATTGAGTAATGCATGGCTGGGTAGGGAAGATGAAGAAACTCCCTACGTGATTGGTACATCCCTAAGAAATTAATAAACCTCTGGTTCACACACCTGTATGGTTGCTTATATGCTCAGTAGCTCTTGCTCACGTCAGAAGCTCTTTTAATGTTAGAAATTGGGAGCTGCAGATGATGATCTTTCCTGACGTGCTTGTTAACTTCACTCTCACAAGTATTGTGTGCCTATCATATGAAATGCACTTTTGGAGATGCAAAGTGGAATAGTAGTGTAGATATACAACTGTCTATCTTAGAAGGCAGACTGTGTAAGTGTTATGCTACAAATACAATGAGAGAGGGATACTGATTACACTTGCTGAAAGATGGAAGGAATAAAGTAGGTTCCTGGAAGATCTGTAGGAGTTAGATTTACAAAGCCCTGGAGAAAGGACTGTGTGCTGTCATCAAAGGGGAGGGGAAATGCTTTGGCAATGTGGAAAGGGCACCAATTGAATTTAAGAGTTTTTCAGCGAATGATAACTTTATTGTAAGTGAAATATGGAGGGAATTAAAACAAAAGAGGAGAGTTATGGCAAATGAGACTGGAAAGGCAAATTCCTGCTGCATTAAGGAGAGCTTTAATGCTAAGCAAAGCAGTTTATATTTAAGGAAAACTATAGTGAGGTACTTCAATGTTTTGCCCATTAAATTTTTGCCTGGCTGAAACCATGAATGGACTTTATTTAGCTTTTTGCCTCTGCCCTGCACATGATAAAATTGGGGAAGGAAACCAAAAGACGATCACCCAGCAAGGAGCTATTGAAATAATCTTGGCAGCAAACAGAAGAACCTGCTCTGGAGCCATGGACATGGAAGAGATATTCCAGAGGGAACCTCTGCAGGGCTATCATAAGGTAACAGATAAGAGGGATCATTGAGAAGCAAAGAGACCAAGAGGATTAATATTTATATGGGTGAAAATTGTTGATTTTAACACCAGAATTTAAAAAAAAAGATTTATTTATTTGAGAGGCAGAGTTACAGAGAGGCAGAGGCAGAGAGAGAAGAGAGGTCTTCCCATCTACTGCTTCACTCCCCAAATGGCCACAATGGTCGAAGCTGGGTTGATCTGAAGCCAGGAGCTTCTTCCAGGTCTCCCTCGTGGATGCAGGGGCTCAAGCACTTGGGCCATCTTCCACTTCTTTCCCAGGGCATAAGCAGAGAGCTGGATCAGAAGTGGAGCAGCCAATGCCCATTTGAGATACCAGTACTGCAAATGGCAGCTTTACCCACTATGCCACAGGGGCGGCCACATGTCATCAGAATTCTTAGAGCAATAACTGCTTTTATTTGTAGATGAGGTCTTAAGTCTTGATGGTAGTGAAAATAATTACAGAATACTTTGCATAGGAAGTTAAGAATTAGGACACAGAGGTGAAGAAGGGAGATATTTGGAGAGTAAATCAAAGGGCCTAATAAGATGGTAGAAGACTGGAAGTGAGAAGATGGCCTTTGAGAAAGTAAACAGACTAAGTGGCAAAAACGTTCTTAAGAACAGGGGTACTGGGTCCACATTTTTAAGGATGTTTACTATGTAGTACTATAATTTAACCACCTTTCATCTTTCCACACCTGAGAAATGAGAAATGATAGTCCTTGCACATAAAAAATGCCCAAGGGGAGTGGTGTTACAAAAAAAAAAAAGTTATGAAAAGTCATCTTGCACCTCAAGATTCAGGTGGTATGTAAAGGTGGAACACAGGCAACTGAAAGTTTGGCAGGAATAGGAAATCCAAACTGCAAGACCAAGTAACAGAAATTATGATTTTATCATTGGTCTTCCAGATGGACAAAGTTTAACAGAAACTAAAACCAATGTATACATTAGCATAGACAGGTTGCCCTCAGCTAGCATGTATTTGTACTTTTTTATATACTACTCATAGTTTATATATAAATTTACATGAGATAAAGACAGAGACCTATAGCAAGAGGAAGGGAGTTCATACCCAATGGTTCATTCCCCAAATGCTCACAACAGCTAGAACTGAGCCAGTGCTGGAACTAGAAGCCGGGATTACAATCCAGGTCTCCCACAAGGGTGGTGGGAACCAAGTTACTCGAGCCATCACTGGTACCTCCCAAAGTCTGCACTGGCAGGAAGCTGGAGTCAGGAGATGAAGTTAGGGATCAAACTCAGGCACTCTGATGGCAGTATGTGGGCATCTTACCCACCTGCTCCTAAATTGCACTTTCTGTAATAATATATATTTTAAAAATCACTCTTTGATTGCCTTACCAAAAACTTTTAACTCAGACCTCATGTTTTCCTTCACCTACCTATACATCACCATCTCTGTATTACCAATTCAACCCTAAAGAAACTGTGAAGCTGTATAAAAGATAACTTTTTAGACTTTTCTTATTTGCCCTTTTAGCAATTTTGGTGCCATTGACTAATCTCTCCTGAACCCCCCTGTTCCTTCGGTTTCCATGCCAACAGGGTGTTCATATTCTTCCTGTCCTTCAGGACGCCTACTCTCAATCTCCTTTATGGAATTTACCTTCCCTACTCACCTATTGAATATTATTATGCTTAGCTATATCCTGGGCTTAATTCCTTTCTCATTTTATTCTACACCTGTAGACTCTATTTTATACTAATGGCCCTAAATACCATCTTATGTGGTATATCTTAAGTGGCTTGTAAACCTGCACATCTTCCAGAACTTTAGATCTATGTGTTCAGCTACTTTGTCAAAATCTCTCTTGCTACACTTTATAATTATATAAAACTCCACATTTCTGTGGGTGACCGCCTTCCACATCCAGAGAGCACCATGCTCTGTATCGTTGTCACAGCTAGGTACTGCTCTCCACCTATGTTGCCATTACATAAGTCTGGGCCACATTCTTCTCTAGACAATGATAGAAGACTCTTTGAATCATCTCCACTTCCTCCTTCGCTCTAATGCAAAAAGATCTCTCCAAATACTCATCTCATCATAGTACTCTCTTACCTGAAGGCTTCTATGGCGCCACATTACCATTGGAAAAAGTATATTCTTCCCATCATTTTCACAAGGTTTTTCCATGTTTTGGCCT